CAGGTTGGTTGATTGGATATGAGGAAAGAGGCAGAAGTCCAGGTTCTTATTGATTCCCTTCTTGGCCCTTTAATTAGTGCTTGACTACCCGTCAAACACACACCAAATCAAACCAATCAACCAACCCATGGGAAACGGCCACTGTGGGTGGTATTTTTCCTGATCACACTCCTGTTCACCAGATTGGAGTAATTTCTTCTGACCTTTTGATCTCATCTCCAAACCCTCCTGTGCTGACACCCTATTTAAACCAAATTCTCTCCCTCTGAGGCTTATCAGTTTGTTGGTCACAGTTTTGTACTTGACCTTTGCTCTTTGCACCCTCAGCTGTGAGTATGAGGTACTCCTGCTCCCATTCTAACCCTTTGGAACCATCCTAGCCAGTCCCACCTGACCTCCACAAAGGGGAAAGAGATCATACTTTTCTGCCTTGACTGATGAATGGTAGGGGCATTGACTGAGCTCCGAAAAAGAGGATGAAGAATGGTTTTTGGGAAGATGATTACTTCGGTTCTGGATATGTTGACCCTGAGGTTCCAAAGGGACAGCCTAATAGACATTAATTAAGGCAATCACAAATCTGGCCCTAGAATTTAGGAGAATGTTCTGAGCTGGAAATGGAGATGTGGGTGTGAGAGAAAGAATTCGCATAGAAGTCCTCAGGCTATCCTCTGAAAGGCCTTAATTCAAGGTTAACCCTTGGCTGGTTTCTGGGAACTTGATTTGGGGAGTGTTCCTATCATTCTCTAACTTAAAAGAATGTCTCAGTGTGCCTCAATTGTTTGTGCAAATAATATGGTTTATACTGAACATCTCCTTTCCTTCTGGGAGTCTGGAATTTTGGTATGAGCTAGGCAGGGGATGCCTACGTGAGCAGCCCCCAGTTAAAACCTTGGGCCCTGAGTCTGTAATGAGCTTCTCTGGTAGACAACACTTCTCCCATGTTGTCACATTCAATGCTGGAGCAATTAAGTGTGCCTTGTGTGACTCCACTGGGACAGGACTCTTGGAAGCTTGCCTGGCTTCCTCCAGACTTCGTCCCACGTGCCTTTTCCCTGTGTGGATTGTGCTTTGTCTCCTTTCCCTATAATAAATCTTTGCTACGAGCACAGCTTATATGCTGAGTCCTGTGAGTCCTAGCCAACCACTAACCTGGGGGTGGTCTTGGGGACCTCCAACACAGGGAGTTATCAGGAACACCAGGTAATTCAGTGCTGGGAATAAAGATATAATTGAACCCCTCCCAATCTACATGGTTGCAGTGGACAAGCCATGTGACCTGACCCCAACTGGCTGGAGTGGAATGGTCACTCTGCCTCATCCTGCAGACAAAAATGAAGATATCTCCTTTGTATTGTAAAGTACACTGGTCTGAAATGCAGCAAAGGGACAAGGGTGACACTCAAGGGAAGATTAAAGAAAGGCCCCTAACTATGGCAGAAGCAAAATCTATTTAGCTAAAAATTAGAGCAATAGAAGGATCCTCCTAACAAAATGCTAAAGGTGTTGTAAGGGACATGGCTAGTCCCTCTAGCAAATCAAGAACAATACAAGATTTCTAGCATTGGATACAAGACCCCAAATGAAATTGTTAAGGAGCTAATTAAAGTTTTAAGGAAGCTGTATTTTCAAAGAAGCCCCTAGCCTGTTACGCAGAGACACATGATTGGTCAACATTCTGGCAGTCCCTGAACCAAGCAGTCACATCGAAGTGCTAAGATCAAAGCTGTTCACTAGCATTCCCTCAAACCTTCCATCCTGCCCCAGCTCCACCAATACGAAATCTTCCCTCAGGGCTTTTCTGAGTGGGCCCTAACTCAGGATCTGGGCCAGCCAAACTGGCTGACCAAAAAACTTACTGTACACCCAGATAAGTGAGTCAACAAAGAGATGCTCATGAGACTGTTTCTATCATTCATCTTACTAAGCTTGCTCAGCAAGATATGGTGTATTCTGTACCAGTAATCAATGGAATCAAAGACACTTTTTAGTTTGATCTTTATTCCACTTCATTCTATTAGGTAGATAGAAACTACATTTATCATTTATCCCATAAGCTGGATGGTGAGGGATTGCAATAAAACCTGATCAAATCCAAGCTAATGGAGGAATGGACACCATCCAGGGAACTTGAACTCAAAAGAGTGGCTAAATTGTGTCACTTCACAATACAGAAGCTATATGTGAATTTGGATTCTCATTGGGGAGAATGTGAACATGTTTGGAATTGCACAGAAGATATTAGATTATGGTTAAGTAGGAGCATTTTTGTGTTGCAATTAAATGTGTGAGAAGGAGGGCTGCATATATACTGGGCAGCCAAGAGGTAACTCCATCTTGAAATGAGACATTAATACAATAGAGTAAAAGTACATCTGAAAGTGTTTTCTATTTTCCGGAAGAAATCTGATTATTAAAAAAAAAAAAAAAAAGAGGAAATAAAAGTAAAGTACAGGGGTCAGAGTCTTCAGAGATTTAGTGATCAAAGTAAAACAAAAAAAACTTGCTGAAAGTAAGTATGGATCCTCAGTTATCCTAAGAGCAGATATATTCTGGGCCTAATACAATCACAGTCACTGAAAAGAACTCACAACCTGTCTCTAGAGATTGAGGAAATGATCACCACGGACACTCCTAATCACATCCTTTGGAACATGGGACCTTTGGCCTTCTCCAAGTTAGATGGCTCTGGCTTCCTGGGAAATTATCTCCTGTATCCATCTTAACAGATATCCCAGCTCTCTGATTTCCACTGTCAGGCACACTTTTGAGGGAGAGACCGCAAATGAGCCTGGCCCCACTGCAAAAGGAGTAATTACCCCCTTTTCATGGAGTACTATTTCTACACAATTTCTTCTTCCTGTGGCCAGAAATTATTCAAATGAAGAGATGCAGGAAGATTAGAAGTTCATTGTAAATTCCTGCCTGAGGGTAATATTCATGAAACTGCCTCAGACTCAGTTTATTAACTCTGATCCTTAACAATTTATTACCTCTGATCCTCCTCCATCTCTTTTCTGGATTCATCCTTACAGTATAGATTGTTTGATATCTTTCAGGAGCAGAGCTTTTTCTCTTCATTTGTGAAACAGAAAGGATGTATTTGAATGTGGAAATTAAGGTAATTACAAAGACATGATATAACAAAGTTACAAGGTTAGAAAAATAACTTTAGGAAGGAGTAAGTTAGACTGAAAACTTCCCAAGGCATTTCTGCTTCTCCAGAATGCAGTTTTGTAGAAAGAACACAAGCTTTGGAGGCAAATGGTCCTGTGATCGACTCTCTAAACTCTGCCACTTACTATGTTAAGTAGCAATAATACTTCAAGGAGATCTTGGGATGTTTAAATTATAAATTCATGTTAAATATTGAAAGGAAAATAAGAGTGAATAAAAGATAATCAAGTATGGGTCATACCAATGCTAGTTGAAACTATAAAAATCTGGATACAAGGAAACAAGGTAAAAGGATGTAATACGTGGGAAAGCAGGTGGGAAGCTGACAGCCACACTATAAAGAACAAGCTCGAAGGACATGACATCAAACATAATATTCAAATGAAGAATTTTAAACTATTTGTTCCTTTCTATATCGGAACCACAAAGGGTACAATCATTGCTAAACAGAAGCTATAAATATATAATGAGCCTGTGTATTTGTCATCAGCCTTTTTTACTGGGAAATGAATGAAAATATTAAAGAAAACACTTCTTTGCTCCCAACTAGGATACCAACTTACAAAATTCATTAAGCTTTCCTGCTGCTTTCAGGGAATTTTCCAGATAGCATACAGTCTAGTTCTATTTCCAATGACTGTTTGGGATCTCCTCACATGCTGGTCCCACCATGTCTTGCACAGGACTAAGTCAAACAAAGAATCACAGTGCTTTTATTTTTTTCTTTATCCTTTTTTTCATTTCCCTTTCTTTGTTCTCCTGTTTATTTTCCTAACTGATGAGACCAGGGGAGGTAGAACTTCCTGAGGAATATTCCACATGAGCAATACATGCTGGATTTAGTCTCTTGTCATATTGGGGACAAAGGGTAACACTGAAATAAATGAGACATATGAATATGGCTATGTTTAAGATAAATGTCTAAACTGGCATAGCCTGTAACGTCTAACAGTGCTCCCTCTGCCACTCAGGCGATTCTCCATCAGTGAATGGGTGACTCTCCCACCTCTTCATACTGAACTAGAAACCAAATAATGTCTTTTTTCCCCCTACATTTTTATACCCTTCCCTTTCTTTCCAGTTTCACTGCCATCACCCTAGGTTAGATAATAACTGATGATGATGACTGATAATAAAAATGATCACAGTAGTTTATTGGGTTTTTTCTTCCTCTCTCTATTCCACTGTGTTCTGAACACTGTACCACACCAATCTTCCTGAAACATGAAAAACGATCCTACCATTCACCACTAAAATTCATTAAGAGGCATCTAAAGTCTGTAAGATCAAGTAAAAATTCCTTAGTCTGGTATTTAAAGCCTTCAAATCAAACTTCCCAGTCCTATGTCCCATAACTGACCTACATAAACCATTTCCTCCAAACAAAGTCACGACCTTTACTAAAACCTTTCACTCCAGGCGTTAAATGCACTCCCTAACAATTCCTGCGCATGCATCTGACCTAATGAATTGAGTATGATCACTAATCAGAAAAAAACTAAATCTTGAGATACATCTAAATCTCACAGAATCTGACCCTGATGTATTGTTCTTGTGATTTTCCTCAAAACAGTATCACCATAGAAAAACTGCCATATATTCATATGCAAACATGAAAGTCAGAACAGTAATTTATTTTATCAATTGATTTCAATTTCTAAGAGTGAGTATGTCTCTCCCATGAAGATAGGGACTTTGTCTGTTTGTCCTCTGCTGAATCCTTGACACCAGCACCACTGCCTGATACCTAGTAGGTACAAAATATATTTTTTTGAGTGAATAAACCACAGTGGACCAATATAAAAGAATAGTTCACATACAGCTTTGTTTTAATATTTATTGTTAGAAATAGATCTTCAATGCATACTTTGTGTTTATATAAATTCTACATTCTCTTAAGGGTTTTTTGATTTGTTTTATTTGGAGTTTTTGCCTCCAAGTAAACTTAACGTATTATCTATGCATTTGATTCTTTATAGACTTTTTTAGATTTTAGAACTAAATTTGAGAGACCATGCATATTGTATACCTTACTTAATATAATCCAAAGAATTGTTAGTACTTTCAAAAAGTCACAAAAAGGCTGAACTCAAGTTAAATAAACTATATGTTCTAAAATGTTCATGTTCCATTTCTGAATAAAGAAATACGTGTTCAGTATTATATATTGCTTGCTGTCTAATAAGTCAGATTGTCAGAAACGCTTCAGTAAATTATCTCTATTTTTAAATATCTTAATCCACTTCCTCCCAGAGATGATCCAGTAAATATTAAACATTGTGCCATATGCAGTAATAGCCCAAAAGCTTAAATAAGAACCAAACTGGTAGTTTTTAGACTGAATATTTTAACCTTAAAATTATATATCTATATATACATATATGGTATGCTGCATATTAAATTTAACATTTCAAGTAACTTAAATACATTTAGCAAACATTCAGCCAAACACTCTTTCGTGAAAAGATACTGTCCTTAGAATAAAAAGTTAGTGAAAGGCTTATTTAGACACCAATGTCTGGACATAGTACTAAGCCTATGCAACTTGAAAGTCCAAGTCAAGTCTGTTGTACTATTAAGAAAAAGAAGATTGATTATTAACCTACTGAATTGTGCAAATACAAAAGTGCTTAGCATGACAAAATTACCAAAATAAAAACATCTTAAAGGTTATTTGGTTCTAGCAATATTAACTATTCTGTACTTTTGGATAATTTAACATTTGCATTTTAAATTTTATATAAATTTTCTCTTTTTAACAAGTTAAAAAAGCACACAAAAAATAGTTCAAACTATAATAATCTGTTACTTTTCATCCTGGTTAGTTCATCACAGATAACTCAACAAAAGAATGTTTAAATACTCAGCTCTACTACAATGCAATATTTGAATAGATCCACCACTTCAGCCAGTGTTTGCCATACTGGCCCCTAAAACAGGCTGCCGACAGATGGGACAAGTGCAGTTCTCTGAGAGCCACCGGTCAATACAATGGATGTGAAATTCATGCATGCAAGGTAATTGCCTGAGCTTGTTTCCAGTTACATAGTCACTGATACAAACGCTACAGATTTTACCTAGTTCACTATCAATACTGTTATGCTCATAGTTACGGGTGGAAAGATTGTCAATCTGCTCTTTGGTTAAACCACGTATTCGATCATCATCATCACCTTCATTTAGTAAAAAGAAGTGAGCAAGGCGAAGAATAGGTAATGTTCCAGTTTCAACTAAGTTATTTGAATTTCGCAACTGCCTGCCACCTCTATTATCATTATTTTGGGTATGAGGCTGGGTGGTCTCATGTTCACCATGCATTTCAGTGCTGTCTTCTTGGGCCTGCCTGTCTTGAGAGGAACCTTCATCATGCTGGCTGATGTCATTAACTGCACCTATGTTACTCAGTTCTGAGTGCATCTCAGGTAAATGCTGGCCATTTCTCTGATTCTCTGACTCGGATTCGACCTCCATGAGAGAACTCAATTCTCCAAATCCAGTCATGATCTGCCTTAAAATTGACCGAAGGGCCACTGATGATGGTTCAACAAGCTCATTCTCAGAAATCCTACGAAGAGGAACTGTTATGGTACTAACATAGGTTCGAATACCTGACCGCTCTAAACGAGAAATAGTTCGGCGAAATCCCCCACTGTTGCTTTCGATTGTGACTGTATTTTCTGCTAGCCCTACTCTAGATCGAGTTCGATTTGCAATACTATCCCGATCTCTGTTTTCTCCAGGACGAATCCTTCTCACTTGAAGGTCTAGTGTGATTGTTGGCTGTCGTCGTACAGCAGTTGAGGCTCTGCTGGCTTCTTCTCCTTCTTCTACTGTTATTCTGGACACAAGTCTGGAGTTAGAGAATGGAGTATATGCAGTACCCCTGCGTTCTCTATCGTGTTCTAAATAGACACGAGTTATACCTCTCCTCCTAACAGACCTTCTAATGGTTTGCTGTAAAGGCCTACTTTCCCTTTGTGAATTATGATAAACAGTGCCACTCTGTCTCTGAATTGGTGAACGGCTTCGACTATTGAAAGTAGATCGTAATCTTATTGGCTCTAATCTTTGGTTTGTATTCCTCACTGTAACATTAGTTCTAGCCCCATTCTCCCAAACATGTGCTGCTCCAAATCGCTGCCCCTCCCTTTGCCTGAGTTCACTACCACTTGACTGGTTTGTGCGTAGAGCACTAGTTCTAGGAATGCCAACTGCTCCCCGGATTCCACTTCTTAATCTTCCCAGTGTTGAGAAAGACCCTTCTACTGAATTCTGCCCCCTTGAACCAACCCTAGTCCTTGGAACGTTGGAACTACTACCATTGAAATTCACTGAGGTTTGGCTTCTTGTTCGCCTAGCCACAGGACTGGTAGACCTTTGCTGCCCATTTGTAGAATGTTCCCTGCTAATATCTGAAAGTGGAATGCTCGTATAATCTTCACCATGAATTTCAAATCCTCTATTCTCATGATTTATGTGGATTTCCAGACTAAACCGAAACTCTCCACTGTTTGGGTTTGTTCGACTCACGGCCCTCCAAGTTTGGTTCCCATTTTGTCCACTTCGAGTTGTATTTCCTGTGCGACGAAAGGTGTTCAACCATTCTAGCAGAGAATCTTCATGTGAACTTTCTCTGGGGACTTCTGAGTCTGGAAAGCAAACCAAATCAACTTAAGATCAATTCCTAAAACTATCCTTAGAGTTTTATTGAAAGTTCGTAAGATAAACAAAGTTTTTATTAAATTAACTTATATTTAAATCTGTGCATTTTAATGAACGAAATGGCAAAAACTGAACTTTCTAAAAGAAAGGTATATACTATAAGCATATTGTAATACATACTTATGTATTATAAAACTTTAAATACTATTTATACAAAGCTGTGAAGAAATACTCACTCTTGCTTTCTCTACGCCTGTTTTTGGCAAAATATTAAGACAAATGAGAAATATATCCAATACCAAAATTATACTTGTAAATTGTTTTATTCATATGCCAATATCAATAAAATACAGTAGCAAAACTTATATAATTCATCTTGAATTTGTGGAATCCTTCTGGTAAAGGTAACTCAAGCAACATTTTTGCAACGAGGTATTTCTGTAACCTTTTAGGAATTTTATCCTGTTTCTCAGGAACTGCCAAAAATGTACATCTCAAGAAGTCAGGGTTTCTGAATACAATGTTAGAACCACATTATGACTTTATGCAAAGCTGGGAAACTTTAGAGATGTTACTTAAGTTCTTTATGGCTATATCCTTATCTGTAAGTTGGAGATAATAATAGTATAAATGTCATAGGGTTATCATGAGGATAAAATAAGATACTGTATATAAAATGATTAATACAATACCTGGCATTTAGGAAGCATTCAATAAATGTTAGCCACTATATATAATACATATTCTGTTCATTTAGAACATAAGCTCCATGAAGACAAAGAATTTTATATTATTTTATTCACTGTTAAATCCCCAACCTCTACAACAGTAGCTGGTACAAATCAGACTCTCAATTAATTTTGTTGAATGAATCAATTTAAAAATACATGTGCCCCCAATAAACTTCTTTGACTATGATACTGCTACTGTGGGAGGCACAGTTTTCCATTTTTAACCAGTGCATTATATAAAGCGCAAAATTCAATGAAAAGCATTCTAATGCAGATTACCTATACAGACTTTAGCCTTAAAGTCTGTTCTACTCAAAAACGGCTATTAAATGAGATTACTTTGATTTCATCTCATTACTGCAATCTCTCATAAAAAACTTTTTAAAATGTTGACGTTAAAGCTGTTAATCAGCTGCTGGTGTCAACAAAATAAGCAGCAACCTCAGCCTTATTCTAAAGATATAAACTAGTTTACATGTGATGAGTATTTTCCATTAAAACATATTCAAAGGACCAGTATTACTAGCTGTACCAATATAGTACAACTTACATATCTAAATATAAACAAGAAAAATGGTTAATATCCAATTTGCATTTCAATTTAAAAAGAGATATGAGTAAAAGGCAAGTAAACATTGATCATCCTAAATGCTACTTCCTTCTTTAATTGCTAGAATGTAGCGACAATGTGTGTGAAAGAGTTCACTAGTTATCTAACAAAATCTATCCTATGCTTCTTCCACTGTAAATGCATTGTAACAGTCATGTTGACTGCCAGGCAGGTAGGTGTGGCCATGTGACTAAGTTCTCATCAATGGAATAGGAGCGGAAGTGATATATCTCACTTTTAGGCTAGAGCCTGGACCTCCTTCTGGAACCTGGACCTGCCACAACCTAGATGTGGTTGTGACTTAGCTTGATCATGCAAACAATCCCCTGGTACAGCAGTGTCCGGTAAAACTTTCTGCAACAGTGGAGATGTTCTATATCTGTGCTATACAATACAGAAGCCACTAGCCACATGTGACTCTTAAGCACTTGAATGTAGCTAAATGACTAAGGAACTGAATTTTACATTTTATTTAATTTAAATTTAAATAGTCACATGTGGCTAGTAGCTACTCACTGGACAGCACAGTTGTAGAACAACTCTGCTGACTGGGTGGGTCCCAGGAGGATGTATGGAGCCAAGTTGCCTATCTTCCCTGGAGAGTTAACATGAAAGAGAAATAAACTTCTATCTTATTGAGCCATTGCATTTGGGGGTTTTTAATAGTCTTCGCCCTAATTAATACGACAATCTTGATATAATATATGAAACTACTAATAATGAGTACCTCTGGGGAAAGAAATGGAAGTGGTGAGAAGAACATTAAAGTTGGCTTTACTTTTAACTGTATATATTTCTGTTTAGTTTGAATTTCCTTTTTACGAGCACTTTGTTTTTTATAAGAACTTCTTATATTACGACTTAGTGTTTGTTCAATAACATGACAAAACAAACACAAAAACAACAAAGCAAGGCAACAAAAACAGGTTTCCTGACTCAGTCTCTCTGTATTGCTCTGTAGAAATTTTTATTAAAGATTTTAGTTTTCCTTTTTCTCTCCAAAGGCCCCTAGTACATAGTTGTCTATTTTTAGTTGTGGGTCCCTCTAGTTGCGGCATGTGGGATGCCGCCCCAGCATGGCTTGATGGGGGGTGCCATGTCTGCACCCGGGATTCAAACCTGCAAAACCCTGGGCCGCTGAAGCAAAGCACACAAACTTAACCACTCAGCCACGGGGCCAGCCCCTGTATAAATTTTTAAAACTTAAGTTTAGTTACATTACTTTTTATTTATTTATTTATTTCCTTTCTTTTTTTTTGAGGAAGATTATCCCTGAGCTAACATCTGCCGCCAATCCTCCTCTTTTTGCTGAAGAAGACTGGCCCTGAGTTAACATCACAGATCAGTTAACATCTGTGCCCATCTTCCTGTACTTTATATGTGGGATGCCTGCCACAGCATGGCTTGACAAGTGGTGCATAGGTCTGCACCCGGGATCTGAACCAGAGAACCCCGGGCTGCCAAAGCAGAACGTGCAAACTTAACTGCTGCACCACTGGGCCGGCCCTTACATTACTTTTTAAAAAGTAGTGTGTAGGGGCTGGCCCCGTGGCTGAGTGGTTAAGTTCATGTGCTCTGCTGCAGGCAGCCCACTGTTTCGTTGGTTTGAATCCTGGGCGCGGACATGGCACTGCTCATCAAAGCATGCTGAGGCAGCGTCCCACATGCCACAACTAGAAGGACCCACAACAAAGAATATACAACTATGTACTGGGGGGCTTTGGGGAGAAAAAGGAAAAAAAAACAATCTAAAAAATCTAAAAAAGTAGTGTGTACATTCTAAGATTAAGAAGAATTAAGCTCGTAATTAACTTAATTGTATACCATTTCATATATATGAGCTCCCTGAAGGCAATCTGTGTGTAAGACATCTTTGTATTCAACCCCTGTCCTATATTACCTAACTATACTGTTTTGCATATAATATGCAAATACCATCTGAATGAGCATCACATTAAAACTGGAAAACATTAAAAACAAACATATTGTACAAGATCCATTAAGTTCATTTCCGCAATTGCTCCAATCAAACCTGTTCCTTGTGGAAAGGAGTCCACAGTACCTCTGGTATTTGTCCCATGACTCAAGTCAGGCTGGGAGGCTAGTTGTTCCTTGATTCCATCTAACCGCTGTTGTAGTTCTTCTGATGTTATTTCTCCTAAAACAATGAAAAATTGCTCACTCAAATTAAAAATTTTAAATTACTAAGTTGTATGAGAACTCATGAAGGGTAAGACTAATCTTTAGCAATCTGTAGAAGATATTCTATTGTTTTGATGTTCTGTAAATTGAAGACAGTTAAATATATTTAATTAATGCAAATACATATCATTTTGATTGCTTCATTTATTAAAGTTTTGTTAAAATTAAAATAAGATGTAATTTGAATAAACTAATAAAGTACTCTCAGTTGATATACTTAGGAACCTATAAGGTATAATTTTGTGGATTTTTGTCAGAGTTAAAAAGAAATTAAGAAGGGAATATTTCTAGAGAAAACTTCAGATAAATAAAGATTTGAATTTTATCTCAATAGATCATTACATGGGTCATCAATATACAGTATGCAAATATGCAATATACAAATACATAATATGCACATATACAAGTTCAATTAGTTCATTTGTGAAATGAATTTGCAAAAACTTTATAGAGCACATTGGACTTTTTGAGTGTTAATTCAGCTAAAGAAATAAATTGTAACACCTCAAATGAGTTAGAATTGGGTTTTAAATAATAATGTTTTTTTTTCTTTTTTTGAGCAAGATTAGCCCTGAACCAACAACTGCCACCAAGCCTCCTCTTTTTGCTGAGGAAGACTGGCCCTGAGCTAACATCCATGCCCATCTTCCTCTTCTTTATATGTGGGGCGCCTACCACAGCATGGCTTTTTGCCAAGTGGTGCCATGTCCACACCTGGGATCCGAATGGTGAACCCCGGGCCACCGAGAAGCAGAATGTGCAAACTTAACTGCTTCGCCACCAGGCCGGCCCCTAAATAATAATATTTTATTTGTACAAACATTTAAAAGAAATAGGACCATATATGTATATATTTGACACTTTTATGTATATTGACTTTTATGTATATTGGCATTTCTATAACAGTGCTCTATGTTGTATATTCTGACCTATTTATAAAATATAAGCGAGTGATTTTCTATTTTATTATGTTAAAAAGTTCTTACATTCACAAAAACAGTGCATTATGTTTTGGGAGAAGGGAGAAGGGGAAAAAACTCTCCTTATTTTGAAATTCCTCCTTATAATGACGAAAAAGATGTCTCCTCTTTTACCCATCTCTTACCTGGGGTGCCTAAAAGATTATGGTCTCTCATTAGCCGATAATCTTCATCACTGAGTTCATTAATAAACTGATAATAGGCTTCTTCTCTGTGCAGACGCTCTTGCTGCCATCTTCTCTCATTTTCACGATGATCATGGCCTTGAGATGAGGTTTCTTCACCACCATCATCTGATGTAGATCTAGACTGATTCATAGTGAGATTCCTGTTCTGTTCAAACAGCATATACAAAAGTCAAGGTGTTAGTCATGGACTACACATGGCTTCATGTTTTTAACTTAGAGTTTTTTTTATTTTCATTTTTAAATTTTGTCCCCTACTCAAATACTTCCTATGCCAAATCTTGTAGTGAAGAACTCACATATAAGATGAAAAACAGCTTCTAGGAGATAGAACATAACTGGACCTACTTCTTTGCCTAAAGCCATTGTGGAAGTCAGACTGGATTTGGTTTCACCACACATTTCTCATACCTGAATACCAAAGTGCTTATCTCATTTTTTACCTCTTGGACTCTGGTAACGTTGGTCTAAGAGCCCTCATTGATATTTCAAAGCCTGGGTACCTCATGTTAGCATACAAATTTTAAGCTTAAATTGTGCATGTTCTTTAATTAATAAGTAAAAGGCTATTGGGAGGGTATCTTTTACATTTATTTCCAGCAAGGATATTCTTCCCAAAATAAAATTAGTTTTGGATTATACTTAAATGTCATTCTTGAAAAGCTTACTTTTAAACTATAAAGAAACCAAGGGAGAAAATTATTTTATAAATATTTTAGAATTTCCTAAACACATCTATTTAGTAAGTTGTTAAACAGTTCTCGACTGGGAATACACATCGAAATCACTTGAGGAAATTTTTAAAACTACAGATGCCCAGATCTCATCCCCAATCTAGGCCAGAATTTTCCAGGGTAGGACCCATGCCTAACTTTAGGAGTTAATTTGGGTGTTCTGTGGATGAAATAAACTATTCTTTGACAATTTCTGGTATGTCACTAAAGGGTAAGTGTAATATAGCACATGACTTAACAGAGGCTGGAGGATCAAATGACTAAGTTGCCAGTGAAGCAACTGCTGCAACTCTGACTCAGTGTTTAATAAGCAAACTACTTTAAATATAAAGTTAAATTCGCCTGCAAGTCTAAACTATTATATGAGGAAGCAACTATCCAATTTCACGTGTATTCTAACATTAAATTACAAATTCAAGGATTTTTTTTACAGTGATTATTATGTCCTTTTTAAAGGAAAGATCTAGTTACACTATCCAATCAAATGTGAATTAACATTATTAAAAACTCAAGATTTCTTTTCATTTTCAGAATAATCAGTAGACCATCATTAGCAAAAGGCATATTACGTAGATACAGCAGTAGTATGACTTTTGTATTAAATAATTTAAAAATTTGAAACCTATCATAAAATCAGGCTACCCTAGTATTATCCAAAACTTTAAGAGCTTCTCCTCAAACGTAATTTTCTTAATCAGCTAACCACAATTAAATCAAAGTGAATACCTTATTTTCCTTTCAACATGCTTTTAATATACGCAATGGTATCCATCCTTCAATTGCTTGTGTTTTTTTTGAGAGCCGCCCATCTGAAGCAATAAAAGAGTTGAATTATTCATTAGGTTGCCTCTCTGAAGGCTAGGAACGCTACCAGTCTCCCAGCTCTGCTGCAAAGTCACAGCAAAATCTCCAGTGGATTTTCTTAGACACTCAGCTAGAAAATTAGATCCCCAAACAATTAGGTCATGAAAATCTCCCGCAAGGCCCTTTGCTCCCACAACAGAAACTAGGCCTCTCCCCCGACACTGTCACTGCTCCTCAGATCACAACTCCTCTCTCCAGGCCTGCCTTCCTGTCCCGTTCCCATTCGCATGTGTCAGGGCCAGGTGTCTCGGGGTTACTTCTAGACCTTTACTTTCTTCCCACCCCCGCCCTCCCACCCGCTACTGGTCCCTTTCCTGGCCGTTGCGACAGAAGCTCGCGCCGGGGTAGGGCCCACACTACAATAAACAAACTGGGCTCTGGGGCCCAACCAACCTCTTCCCAACCGAGCCTGGAGTAACGCTTCCCTTAACGACCTAGATTCCCACAGGGAAGCAGGTGACAGACGGTACAGCGGAACCAATCAGCAGTTAGCGGAGCGCGTTAGGAGCGCAGGTAACCAATCGGAGAAGAGATGCGGGGCCCCGCCCCCCACCCTCCTCCAGGATGGCCCGCTTTCCCGGCGTCTCCCGGAAGTGGTGGCGAGGCCCGGAGCTCTCCCCGGAGCTCACCTCGCCGGGAACGGGGCTGTCCTCCCTCCGCGGGAAGAGTCTGCGGCGCGGCTGTCCTCTCGAGTCCTAGCGGCTGCGACCGGCAGGCGGGAGGGGCTTGCCTGGACTCCTCCGGGCACCGCTGCGCCTTCTAATCGTCTGGTGAAGAAGCCGGAAGCTGGTGCTGCAGCCCGGGATTGTCCAGCTGGAAGAGAGGCTATGGAGGAGGAACGGCAGGCCCCGGCCCCGCTTTCCCCACGGCCAGGCCGCCCCCTCGGGCGAGTGGAGACGCTCCACTGCCTGCCGGGCGCTCGCCGGTGCGACTGGAAACAGCGTCCGGCTGGATCCAGGATGCCAGCGTTCTGCGTTCCGCCTCCTCAGCGCTCGCGCCCAGGGCTGATCGTCACAAGCCTCCTTCTCGAGTGCCAAGTCCCAGGGACACAGCCTGCTTTCCGCTCTTGGGAAGGACCAGCACCTGCTCTGCGCTCTGGTGTCGCTTGTTGGCCGAACCTGGCCTCAGAGTGCCACCCAACAGTCTGTCCCTGTCTCTTTACTGCCCCGTATCACGTGGCCAACCAGCCAGGCTCCTTCCCTTCTCGCTCTTTGGGACCTGGAAATTACAAACCCTAATCGAGTCTAAAGTGCTTGTATTTGTGTTCCTTCACTTTCCCGCTAGGAATGCATTTGGAGCCCCCCCCCCCCCCCCCCCCCCCCCCCCCCCCACCACCACCACACACACACACAAACACACACACATTCACGCCTCCTGTTTTATTTCTGAGATGTGACGCGTACCAAACTCACCTCATCGTGAGTTAAGCCCTTGACTAGGACTCTGCCCAGCCGGGCGTAGGCTCCTTTCCTGACACCACTACCATCCGGAGACCTAATCATTGCACAGTGCTCGCTGCTGTTATTTTTCATTCGTTGGTGCATTCATTCATTCATTGATTCCTGCCTTTGCAACTTTGAGGAGCTCCTCTATCCCCACCGTTATGCTGAGCTCCTCGGTAATAAACAGATGTAGTCTTTAGCATCGATGAGCTACCAGTGTAGTAGGGGTAGATGGACAAGTTAAAACAGCTTTATTGAGCTGTAAGTCACATACCATAAAATTCACCCATTTAAAGTGTTTTTTGGTCTACCCATTCAGTGGTTTTTAGTATATTTGCAGAGTTGTGCAGCCATCACCACAGTCTCATTTTGAAACATTTCTATCACCCCAGAAAGGAACCTCACAGCCATCAGCAGTGACCTCATTCCTTCCCATCCCAACCCCAGCTCCTGGTATTCACTAATACACTTTCTGGCTCTATGAATTTGCTTATTCTGGATGTTTCGTGTAAATGGAATCATACAATATTTGTCCTTTTGTGCCTGGCTTCTCTTGCTTTGCATACTGTTTTCAAGGGTCATCCATGCTGTAGCATGTGTCAGTACTTCATTTTTAAAGAGAAACTTCTGTATAGTCTTTTTCTGCGCATAAAAACCAACTTCAAGGATATCCCCTGTTATGGGCTGAATTGTGTCCCCTCTCCCAAATTCATATTTTTGAAACCCTAGCCTCCAGTGTCTCAGAATGTGTCTTAATTTGGAGATAGGGCCTCTAAAGTGTTACGTTAAAATGAGGCCATTAGGGTGGGTCCTAATCCAATCTGACGGGTGTCCTTACAAAAAGAGGAAATTTGGACACACAGAGACACCAGGGATGCAGGTGCACAGAGGAAAGGCCGTTTACGGGCACAGCGAGAAGGCAGCCATCTGCAAACCTATGAGAGAGGCTTCAGAAGAAACCAGACCTGCCAATAGCTTGATCTGGGACTTCCAGCTTCCAGAACTGTGAGAAATAAATTCCTGTGTTTAAGCCACTCGGTCTGTGGTACTTATTACGGCTGTTCGAGAAAACTAATACACCCACTACAACGACAGCTTCGAGTTTACTCTGTCAGAAATTCCTCCAGAAAGAAGCATGAGCCCAGGGCAATGGAGGACCCCATCTTCTAGACCCCTGTTCTAAAGATGTCCATCATTTCCTGTCAGGGAACCTGCCCTCTGCTTGGAAGGAGGAGCACTAGACCATGTGGCCCCAACTCTCTGGCCACAGCTATTGAAACAAGGTTCGTGTCCCAGATTTTCTGGGAATTTGGAATTTGGTCACGGAGACTTTGTTGGTTAACTGTGAGTAAAAGAACTGAAAGGTGAGATAGACGAAAAGGCTAAGACCTCTCAGATGGAGGCCATAGGCAAGTGGATAAGTAATTAGAAAACAAAGAGTTTTCTAGTTCCCAAGAGGCTCAGTTATTTTGCTAACAAATGGGCCTGTGAGATTCTTCTGTGTCTTTATATCATTCTTTCTCCTTAATTGGGTTCCTTTAGTGGGGTTCTTGCAGCTAAAGAATCTTCCTTTGAATCAGCCAGGGTTCAAGGCAGGATACGAAGACTGCTGTACATTTTTAAAGCAGAAAGGTATTTATTACAGAGAATTGGGCACCTACGAAATCTTGCCATGGATAAAGGAGAGTGCTGTAGGCTGAACTTCAGACTGACTCCCACATTCTTACAGGACCCACCTGAGAAGAGAGCTCTGAGGTTGCCACTGGAAGTCCTGCATTCAAGAAGACTGCATCAGCTGCTGCAGTACAGAGGTTTGGAAGCCAGCATCAGCAAACCTCTGCCGCCACAGCCATCAATGCCTCTTAGACCATCAAAGCTGGTAACTGGAAGCTCAGTCACCACTGCAGAAAATCCTCACCCCTCTGTAATCTTGCTTACCATCAGAAAAACATCCCAAAGTGGGTAGAAATATGGCCTCTGCTTTGGTTCCACTTTCCACATCTTGGTAAATATATTTAACTGGCAGAATCTAATTTGCATCCAGAACTGTGGTTCCCAGAAAGTCTTGGGTCATGTCATTTTCAGTTTGCCAGCCTTTCCACAACATGGCACACTAGAAGAAGGGGAGAGTGGAGGCTGACCAGGGAAATCCAAAGTATCCACATTGTTCTCATCAATCTCACTTATCCAGTTAGGCCAGACACTGTCTTGGGTCAGGTTCTCCTGAAATGGAGCCTGAGACAAGGATTCTTGTTCAAGTGATTTATTAGGGGAGTGCTCTCTGGAGAAGGGGAGTGAAGGAAGTAGGATTGGCCAGGAAGACAAGGAAACAAGAATGAACCGCAGCTGATCCCACAAAATTCACCAGCAAGTGTTAACCAAGAAAGCCAGCTTTTTGTACTCCCATGCCATTGGATGAGGTCTGCAGGCATAGGAGGGCAGCACAGCCTCATAGCCTCATAGGTGAGGTGGCTCTTATTTTGGCCAAGGACAATTCTCTAGAGAAGGTGGCATCTGGAATTGTTATCCAACACTCACAGCAGCTGGAGTGTAGATGCATCAGCTTATAAAGTGGATTTGGGCAGGGCACAAACAGAATTCACTATAGTCTATGCTTTGTAATGCTTAGATAGCTTGCTTTTCACATTAAGTTACTCCAACAAGCATAATTTCTCCAGAATTCTTAATAGTCACAATTTCTGGGAAATTTTATAAGAGTAGGGTAATGGGCCAAATTACAAGTCCCTACTCCTACAGCAGGTCTGAAGGCCATAACTGACACTCATTATCTTCCTCCTCCACCACCCTTTCTAGATTCCCCTCCACTTCAGCTATCACTTCTGCTGGTGTCAGTGGCTTAACTACTGGACTGACCCAGGCACTCATCCCTGAGGGGTTTGAGACCCTGGTTATCATTGCTCTTATCAGGCTGTAGTTGCTGTACTCACCCGCTTATAGTTACAATCAGCATGGAAATACCAAGAAATGCCCCCAGTGGACCTCCTGAGTACCAAGCATATTCCTCCTTGCTTCCGTTATGTAGCAGCAGCCTTACCTCATTCTGATGATTTGCTTGTCAGTCTTCTGGCAATAGGAGCCCAAAGTGACCAGACAGCAGCCATAGCTCTAAGTTGAGTGAGACTCTTACAGAGTCCTCTGATGGAAGTATCCCCTGTCTGAGTATTAGGATCTCTAGGCTGGCAGAGCCTAAAGTTGCAGGGACAGGAAACACAAAGTATCCAGATGGATCACTGGAAGTGATGGTGAGCGAGCCATTCCTTCTTTTATCCCTTGAGCTCTAGACCCATGCATTTTACCTACTAGAACAGGGAGACAGAACCATGTTATGGCCATTGATTTAAGGAGTATATTGCATCCTGAAGGATAATGCTCCAGCCTTACAAGGTGTCATTTCCAAGCTGGAGCTACAGTTATGCTTTCAACAGGCCATTGGTCTACCCTGTCAATCTGACAGCTTCCAAACAGTGTGGTTTGTGATATGACCAGTGGAGCCTCTGGTCAGGTGCCCGTCACCACACCCTCTTGCTGTGAAGTAAGATCTTTGGTCTGAGGCAGTGTTGTGGGAGATCCCATGTCAGAATATCAGACAGTCTATGAGTCCTTGAATAGTGGTACTGGCTGAAGCACTGTGGGCAGGAAAAGCAAACCCATACTTGGAATACATGTCAAACCCAGTCAGGATGAGTTACTCTTTCTAGCTCATAAGGGCCCAGCATAAACACCTTGCCACCCAGTAGCTGTCTGGCCTCCTTCAAAGTTCGGTGTTGGTCCCTGCTGCTGACAGATCAGACATTTAAGCAGCAGCACTAGTTATATCAGCTTTGGAGAGACAGCCCAAGCTGTTGGACCCATGCATAGCCCCTGTCTCCTCTATCCACAAGCCCATTGTGCAAGAACTTGGGTGGCCATTGACATAGGCTGACAGACATCTGCTAGCCTAGTCATCCTGGCTACTTGGTTGGCTAGTGCCTCTTCTGCAGTGGAAACTCTCTAATGGGCATTGTGTGCTATAAAAGATCCTCACACTGTGTGCCCATAGATCCATCATAGATCCATCTGCCTCTTCTCCAGCCTTGCCAAATCTTTCTTCTTGCAGACCCCTGACCAACAAGCTAGCCTAACATTTGTTACTATAGAGTATACCCTTACCATGGCCACTTCTGTCTCCAGACAAAGTGGATGACTAAGTGCATTGCCTGAAGTTCTGCCAACAAGGAGGATTTCCCTTCGCTACTCTCTTTCAGAGCCACCCTGGGTGGGGCTAAGGTGCAGTAGCAGATATTTTCAGCTTGCATCCATACCAAGGTGCCCCATCCATGAACCAAGCTTTTGTTTTTCCTTCTTTATCAACTGTTCACAGGGAACCTGCCTGAGGCCACAGCTATGCGTTTTGAGAGAGGCTTTGGTGCAACAGTGGTATGTCTCAGACATGGGGCTTTCAGCCACTTGTTTGTGAAGCTCACTTGTGCTGTCTGCTTGAACCTAATCCCAGATGTATGGAATGGCTTACAGTGGATTGCTGCTGCACTGCCTGACCTTCTGACACAGTGAGTCTGGCAGAACCCAATTTATGATCACTTGCTGTCTCTCGGTCACTTGATGTCCCTCTTTGATGCTCAGTTTCTACCAAGGCCCAATAGCATGGCAGGAGCTGTTTGTCAAATGGTGAATAGTTCTCTGCTGCAGATGGCTTGGCCTTGCTCCAGAAGCCTGGAGTCTGTGCTATGACTCACTATTGGAGCTTGCCAGAAGCACTATCAGGCATTTTTCTCTATAACAGATACCT